GGAGTTAATCTTTGAGACGGCCAAACTTTGGGTGTATTGGTTTTTTTATTTATTATTAGCCCGTCGAAAAACTATTGTCCTTGAAAAGTGTTCGTTAAGCGCGTTGTTGAGAAAAATGAAAAACCTTGCCAAAGATCACACACATACAAACCCAGACATTTATCATTGACTAGGTTGAATGCTTTTCCTTCGAATAACGTGGATTTGACAAATACAACCGATTAAATCTGAAGGAAAATTTCTAGTTGGCGGTTTTGCCTGAAGATTCACTGAAGATGGACTACTATTGTTCTGCAAATTACGTGAAAATAAATCTTAGTGACATTTCTCTTCCATTCCGAATACCGCCGAAGATTCTTTCATAGCTCGACCGAATTTTGCTAAAAGTGGCTACCGACATGTGTAGAGAACTACATCGGAAGACCACACAAAGAAGCACAACCTTGGAACGTTCGAAACCAGCAAATACAAAGAAATTCGATAAAATAAAGGCCCTACAAACCGACTGAGACTTGCAAGGCTGAGAACCGATTTGTCCGGAGGAATTTGGAGAACTGCTAGCTGCTAATTAGAACTAAATGTTTTGAACTATTTTATAACGCTTATGATTTGAACCACTAGGACCCTCTAAAAATCTGTTCTCGTCAATCGAACAATATATGGGAGCAAATAATTTTTATTCAAAAAACTCGTAGGGTAAAACAGTATGAGAAAAAGTTCTCTTTTTCATTTGCTTAAACCGGTGGGTAAAGCACGGCTACACAATTGATTTTGGAGGGCGATCGTCAATTGTCAACGCATATAGGGAGCTACAATGTAGGGAGTAAAAGGGCATACAGAATATGGACCTTTTATTATAGGGTGAGATTTTCGGTTTGTTGTTATCGATCACTGAGGGCTAAGTTGATAGAATACAGTCCGTTTTGTGAGAGCAGATGAAATGTATAATAATAAACACAAAGAAAAACTGTTGGTGACAAGCGAATTAGAAACAAAAAAAAAACAGAAAATAAAATGATAGTTCACAGCGTTTGCGACGTGATTGAGGACAGGAATCTTAGATAAATAATCCCAAAAAGCGTGACAATAGCGCTTATCGTACAATATCGGTAGTTAATGTGGACTAATTTTATTGAACGTATTAAACACGCAACTGAACGGTAACATTGTAAGACTTCTGGTACAAGGGGATTTTGTCGAGATATCAGTGCAGACTTAAATCTTTAGATAATAAATTATTTGGTTTTGAAAGAAATGTTTGATTTTTCTGATCGAATACGAGTGGTAAAGAAATATGCTTCTGTACAAACGAACTTCAAGCAATGCCAATCCTCAAGAGACCACTTATGAAACCAAAAAGGATAAATATTTACCATATGGTTCGATAGGCTGGCCAACAAATGGGCCATGGGAAAATTTAAAAGCCAGAACTAAATGCCTGAGATTTACCTAGCTTTCGGGGCACCTAGGTAGTTTTCGATTGTGTGAAAAGACCTTTGAGCTGTGATATTTTACAAGGTTGCTCATTGGGGTGATTTGCCTGTTAAACACCAATTTTGGATAGAAAATCTTGTTTTGCCTGTCTTGGAAAAGTAACTTTTACTATTACAATGTACGTTCGATTTGCTTCAATTCAATTATGTTTTTTCAAAGCTAGTACCACATAATTTAAAGCGTGTCTTTATAATTATCTTGATGAATGGTTAGGATGAATAGTTGTTTATGAATATTTTTAGTTTCAACTGATCAAAATTGCCTACTAACTGAAAGGATCTATGGAAAAAATTGTGCGGTATGGGACTAGTCTTGGTTAGGAGATTAAGAGAATATTTGAACAATTTCGGTTGAAAATGGAGAAAACACCACTTTTTTCAAAAATGTATTATTCTTCCAGGGGGCAACTTTCACTCAATATAAGCCAGGTCGATCCAAAACTGCAAACTTTAATTTTTAACCTTGTGCCCTGTAGGTTAGGCATTCAAGGTAAAAAAAACCGTTTTGGCTCAAATTCGCCTTCAATGTTCAATGTTAGCTAAACTTTTTAAAATTATGTTTTTTCACTTACCCATGGCCCCTGAAATTCGCTTGCGTTCCGTAGCCAGCATTCGGTTGCCCCTTAAGGTACGGTCCTTGCTGCTGTATCGGGCCCCCTGATCCTGCGTATGCCCCGTGGGGGCCCGACTGCGTGGGCGTGGTGACTCCCCCCCACACGGTGGTCACGACGGAAAGTTG